CACACACACACACACACATGCGGGTTTGCCCCTCCGACCTCCCCAGGCCTGTGCAACTGGGCGGCCTCCATGTGCAAGTACCACGAGGTGGCAAAGGTGGTGGAGCCCAAGATTGCAACAATGCGCTCCGCAGAGGCCGAGTTCAAGGTGCGACCGTGGACTGCATGGCCACGATCCCTATGGCTCCCTGCCGCACCCCTCAGCTGGGCAGCTGCATTGCGTCATTTTGTTTTCTAGCTTTCTTGTCGTCATAAATATGTTGCTATTTGAAAAAGGACGTGCTGGACAGCCGGCAGGTCACATAAGTATGGTGCATGGAGTTCAACATGCAGACAATTGGAATGAAGCGGCTGCGTGCTCCTGCCCTAATGGCGCCACCCTCATAGATTGCGAGCAAGGAGAAGAACGCCGCGGAGGAGCGCATGGCGATCGTTCAGGGCAAGCTTGACGAGATGCAGGCGCAGTTTGACGCAGCCATGGCGCAGAAGCAGGCCCTGGAGGACGCCGCTGCGGCCACGCAGCGCAAAATGGACAGCGCCACGGCGCTGCTGCACGCGCTGGCAGGTGAGGACGAGAACCTAAAACGTTGAACCTCCAGCTTTGCGCGCCTAGTTAGATTTCGGGTGACAGCTGCTGGATTTTACGCAAGTGACGCTCACAATATGGGACCTGGCCATTTGCGCAGGCGAGGAGTCGCGCTGGACGGCGCAGTCAAAGGAGTTTGACTCCCAGATCCAGCGCCTCACCGGTGACTGCGCGGTGGCGTCTGCGTTTGTGTCGTACCTGGGCCCCTTCAACAAGGAGTTCAGGGAGCTGCTGATGCAGAGGGACTTTTACGGGGACTGCGTGCGCCTGGGCATACCGGTCACGAACAACATCCAGGTGTGTATGGGGGGGGGGGGGGAGGACAGCGCACGTGCTCAGGCCTTGTGACGGCTGGCTGCAGCCGCGGCATGGGCACCCAGCAAAACGCGCAAAGTACGTTGCTAGCAGCGCGCTGCCCGTCAGCTGGCCCGCAACCTTCCTGCCGGCAGACTCACCTGTGCTAATCATCCTGCCTGTGCGCACTCACTTGTCCAACACACCCGAGCCCCCTGCTGTCCAACCACCGCTCACTCTCGGCGCCCCTCCCCTCCAGGTGACCAAATTCCTGGTGGACGACGCAGAGGTTGGGGAGTGGGTGCTGCAGGGCCTGCCCACAGACGAGCTCAGCGTGCAGAACGGCATCATGGTCACACGCGCCAGCAGGTGCGCGCGCTGCAAAACATCAGATCACGCGGCTGCGCGCGCCGGTGGAGAGCTGGCATCCACGCATACAGCCCACCCGCTCGACTTTCGTCGCCTTCATAACCTCTCTGGATGTCAGTGCCCTCTCCCCTCCTGCGCTCACCTGCTTGTTTCGACCCTGTTGGGCCCCCAACCCCTACTCACCCATGCGCTCCGCTCACTCACCCACCCACCCCATCTGGAAACCCCCCACCCCCAGGTACCCTGTTCTGGTGGACCCCCAGGGCCAGGGCCGCCAGTGGGTGCAGAACAGGGAGGAGGCCAACCAGCTCAAGGTGGGGGGAGGGGGGGCCGGGAACGCTCAGCACTCAAAAAGACATGCTCATGAGGGCTGGGGGCCTCGGGCAGGCCGTCTGTTCCCTTGAGGCGCAGCAGCAGCAATTTTATTCTCGGCAGAGCAGCGAGCACTCAGGCTTGACGCCGGTGCTTTACGGCACTGATTGCTCATTTGCTGGACCCCAGCCCAGCTGCAACCCTTGCCTGCCCCCCCCCTCTTAACAAACGCCCCCCCTACATCTGTGGGTGACCCCCAGGTGACCCAGCTGGGTGACAAGCAGTTCCGTCTGGCCCTTGAGGACTGCCTGGCGTTTGGCAAGCCCATGCTGATTGAGAACATTGAGGAGGAGCTGGACCCGGTGCTGGACCCTGTGCTGGAGCGGCGGCTGGTGGGTTGTTAGCCCAGCTTTGATCTACTTTGACTAGCAAGATGGCCAGGGAAATGGCCTCCACTGAGCACATGCGCGATGAGCCGTGAGCTCCTTTGGTATACAGGTCATCTACGGCCATCAATGTGCGCATGGTATTGCTATTCATCCAATATGCACCTTTGAATGTCATCACATTTGCCACTATGACGACCTAGGTCCGTAAGGGCAAGAGCTGGGTGGTGCAGCTGGCCGACAAGGAGGTGGACTTCACCGACACGTTCAAGCTCTTCTGCACGACGCGGCTGCCCAACCCGCACTTCACGCCCGAGCTCAGCGCCAAGGTCACCGTGGTGGACTTCACAGTCACCATGGCCGGTGGGCGAGGGACAGTGCTAGGGCATGGAGGGGTGTGCAAGGGGGGTGGGAGCCGGACAACTGGTTTCATTTATCTGGCAGGCCCCTGCAGGCGTGGCACAAGCTTTAAGGGAGGGCCGGCATTAGCCATCTGATTGCCTGAAGGCTGCGCGCATCACGGTCGCACGCGGCCACTCACCCAGGTCAATGCCCAGCCACGTCACCTCGTTACAACCCTCTCCCTCTGGCGCGTGACACCGCACGCCCCGACATTCCAACCTTGTTATATACAATTGTGCAACCATATTATCCAACGCATCACCCCAGGCCTGGAGGACCAGCTGCTGGGCAAGCTGATCCTGAAGGAGAAGCACGAGCTGGAGGAGCAGCGGCAGGCGCTGCTGGAGGAGGTGCAGTCCTACAAGAAGAAGATCAAGCAGCTGGAGGACGACCTGCTGTTCAGGTGGGGGGCAGGGAGCGTCAAACACTTGAGTCTCCGCCGTCGATGGGGTGATACTGGGGCCCAGGGGCGCAATGAGACGGGATGGGATGTAGTGGGATGCACCTGGTGCTGGGATCGCAAGCATCATACCCCCACTGTTGTCCGGGCAACGGATAGGGGCAGTCTACCGGGCAGAACTGGGGCGACATGCATACCTGGCAGTCAAAAACAGGTCCTGCCAAGCACCTGGATGGCAGCATGTTGTTGGTGATGGTCTTGGTGGTGCGCCCTGCGGCCTGCTCTGCCCTGCGCAGGCTGAGCAACAGCCAGGGCAACCTGCTGGACGACACCCAGCTCATCGATGTGCTGGCCGTCACCAAGCAGACGGCACAGGTGACGCCTGGGGTTGTGGGACTGCCAGGAGGAAAGCTGTGTCGTGCTGGATAGATCTGCGAGGACATCAAGGTCCCCTGCCTGGCTGGTCTGCACGGGGCGTACAGTGTCGGTCCTAACATCGTGCGGCCCTTGATTTTGGCTCACTGTCTGCACAATCCCTTGTGCC